GTCGTACCGGGGCGCTGTGCCCTGGGCGCAGCATCGTGCCGTGGCACCCTCGTGCTGGGAGGGTGTCCCGGGCACTGCACCCTGCACACGCACCCTGGACGTGGCACCCTATTTGCAGTCCCATGGGTATGGCACGTCATGTACAGGGAGCCAGAGAGGGGTGGGTGACACTGGGATGGCACTGGGCTTTGTGCCGTAGCATCGAAAGCCGCTGGGGTGTGGTGCACCAGCGCTTGCAGGGACGGTACTCACTGGGGCATGGCGCGTGATGGAGGGGCTGTGGGGTGTCCCAAGGGGGGAGCGAGGGGTCCCACGTGGCCCCCGCTGACCCCCAGGCGCTCTCCTCTCTCCCCACAGGCTCTACCTGGGAAATCCCATGGACCCTCCTGACATTTTAGGTGTGGACCCGAGTGCTGCCAGACCCACCCAGCTTCCAGGCAGGGCTAAAAGTGAGCGGCTTTTCCCCTTCCCCCTGCCCATGGGCTGCGTGAAGTCCCCGTGCCCTGCTGCCAGGGTGATGGGCTGGACCCTCTCATTTCCATCTCTTTGCTGCCACTTGCTTTTCGCAGACCTGGGGGAAGCTGGGGTGATGGGGCGCGTTGTCACCTGGCCATGTGCCACTGCCAGCAGCGTGGGCGGCCAGTGGATCTGCCCAGCTGGACTCTGCCCCGCTGCCCTTCGTCCGGGTCCCTCGTCCCGTCCCAGCCTTCTGCGGCTGGGCTCCCTGGTATGAGGAATCTCAGCGGAGCTGCCACGGGGCGAGAGCTCAGAGGCCGTGTCTGCTGCAGCCTCCCTAAACCTGCAATTTTCCCTCGGGGAGGGCTTCCCACCGGCACCCTCCCTGCACCCCACTGGTGACGGGGGACACGACGAAGCATGCACCCTGCTAACGAGCGCCCCAGCTGCCGCTTGCTCCGTGCGCTCACCTCGCACCTTCCCTCCTCTCGGGCTCTCTCTTCTCCTGCAGGGCAGCCGCCTCCGCGCCCGCCTCAGCCTACCGTCCTGCTCACCAGTAAGTCGGGCTTTTTCAGGTGCTGCTATCCCTCCTTTGTGCCCCCCTTCTTTTCTCTCTTAGCTCTTTTCACCCCCTCTGCACCCCGGGTACTGCCGTGCACCTATGGGTGATGGCATCTGTGGTGGGGACACAGATGTGGAGCAGGGTGGCCAGCCTGGGGCAGGGTGCCGGGGTGCTGCAGGGTACCCCTGCCCTTTCCCACCCTGTGGCCCCCTAGCACCCTGCTCTCTGCCCTGGTATGTATTACTGGGCCCAATGAGGGGAGCAAGGGTAGCTGAAGTTATGGGGCAACTTGGGGGCTTGGGGGTGCAGGTGCCCTCCCTTGCACCCCAGGGGTGGGTGCCAGGATCCTCACCATCCCTCTCCATGCTTTCCTAGAGCCCTGCTACGATCCGGTCAGTGAGGAGGAAGAGGGTCTGCCAGGAGGTCTCCGGAAGCTTTGCCTGAAGAAGCCAAGTGCAGGGAAGGGTCTGCGACCGGTCAAGCCATCGGCACGGGTACCAGGCACCAAGGTGGGCGAGCGGCAACCCGGCCGGCTGGCAAGCGAGGGGCCACCGGGCAGCGAGGTGACCCTCATCGATTTCGGGGAGGAGGTGCCCCAAGGTAGCCCCTCACCAGTGGGGGAGCTGACAGCCCCGTCGTTGGTCAAGCTGGCCATGGAGGCCTTCTCCTTGCTGGACAAAACCCCACCGCAGAGCCCCACACGGGCTCTACCCCGGCCCCTCCACCCCACACCAGTGGTGGACTGGGACACCCGCCCCTTGCCCCCACCGCCCGCCTATGATGATGTGGCACAAGACGAGGACGACTTCGAGGTCTGCTCCATCACCAGCCCCCCGAGCCGGCGGGGCAAGACAAACTACGGCTTTGTGGACGAGGGTGAGCGGGGACCGGTGCTGGAGGACAACCTTTTCCTACCCCCCAAAGAGACCAAGCAGCCCAGCCTGACACAGACTACTGAGCTCTTTGAGGAGCTGCAGCAGGAGTGCATGAAGAGGCTCAACGTCCCCCTGGGACCAGCTGCCCCCACCGACGACAAGCCCCAAATCCCCCCCCGTGTCCCCATCCCACCCCGGCCCCTACGCCGCAACGAGCCTGGGCGCTGGTCGGGGGAGCTTTCCCCGGCTTCAGGGGGTGAGGAAGACCGTCCGCCTCAGATTCCCCCCCGGGACCCGCTGTCACAGCCCACTTCCCGGACGCCCAGCCCTATGGCCTTGCAGGTGGGCTCCCCTCAGCAACGTGCCACCCTCTGTTCCTGCCTCTCCACCTCGCCGGGGAAGCCCATGCCCCCCATGCCCACCACGCAGAGCTTTGCCCTTGACCCCAAGTATGCCACCCCCAAGGTCATCCAGGCGCAAGGCAAGGACTGCTCCAAAGGACCCTGCATCCTGCCTATCGTGAAGGATGGGCAGAAGGTCAGCAGCACCCACTACTACCTGCTGCCCGAGCGCCCTGCCTACCTGGACAAGTATGAGAAGTTTTTCAAGGAGGCCAAAAGCCCTGAGGAGGCGCCGGCGTCCCGCCTGGTCACCACAGCCACCGTCCGTCCCATGGTGCAGCAGCCACCGCTGGATTGCAGGGCCAACTTCTCCTCCAACAACAGCAATCCTGGGCCCAAGTGCCTGGTGAAAGCCTCCTGCAGCCTCCAGAAGATCGTCTATGACGGGCCAGATGGCTGCCGCCCTGCCGACAAGATCCGGCTGGTAAGTGGCATCCCCAGCATCTGTGAGCAAGAGGGGACACGGTGGCTATGGGCTCACTTGGGCAAGAGCCATACCCACCCTGTGCCTTGGTTTCCCCAAGTTCAACCCTGGGGCGTTGGCTGCAAGGGTCCCCGGATGTGCTGTGGGACTTAAGTGTCATTGCAACTCCAAAATAGGGATTGCAGGCCCTTTGAACTCAACTTAGCCCCAGGGAGTGGGGGAGGGAGGTGGCTGTCACTGGAGTCTCCTTGGGCTCTCTGGGCCGGCTCCGTGGTGGCCAGGAGTCTGCACCCAAGCCTAGGAGAGGCTGAAGATCCCAGGGATGAGGATGGTCCCAGCTCTGGGATGACGGTGCTCCCTGGGGACAGAGACAGGGTGGGGGGCAGCCCCAGTGGCCCCTGCTCAACCTAAGGACTTCTCACTGCCTAGGGGTGGTGATGGGCACTGACCACAAGCTCCCCCCAGGTGCAGGACACAGTGCACGGTGTGACCACCGAGGAGTGCCAGGCAGCCTTGCAGAACCACAGCTGGAACGTCCAACGGGCTATCCAGTACCTGAAGGTACCACATGCCCTGTCCCCCCACCCTGGCTCCCACGAGAGTGGTGGCACCCCTGTCACCCTCCTCGCTGTGCCCTGTTCCCTCGCAGGTGGAGCAGCTCTTCTGCCTGGGGCTGAAGTCCCGTGTCGAGTGCCACAGGGTGCTGGAGATGTTTGACTGGAACCTGGCCCAGGCCAGCTCCCACCTCCTCGATCCCTACAGCACCGCCCGCCAGAAGTAGGGGCACAGATGTTTGGGGTTTTTTTTTGGGGGGGTGGGGCGTGTGTGGGGTGTGTGTGTGTCTCCATGCCACACTGCTCTTGGCCAGCTGGCACCATCATCCCTCCTGAGGTCATGTCCTCTCCTCTCCTTACAGGCGGTGACAGCGGGGACGGGGTGAGCTGCGTCAGATCCGGAGCAGGCATCTCGCTGTGGGGCCACCCCCCGGTGCCCACCCTGACACATGCAACCTGCTGCTGGACTCTGGATGGAGCCCCGACTTGCGGGACAGGGACACCCCAAAAGGGAGCCTGACCAGCGCCCCAGACATGCCAGAGTGCCTATGCCCTGGCTTCAGCGACGGGCTCCATCCCCTGGCCCCTCGTTGAATTGTTTTTTTTTGTAAAGAGAAATGTAATTTTAATATATA